ACGAATACTACTTTAACCTAGGAGCTACAAGGATTAAAGTACTAAAAAAGAGTCACAAACCTGAAGAACAATATGAACAAGTTGCTTACTTGAATTAGAAGTTGATTATCGGAGAAATCTTAGAAGCAAGCTCATGAAGAACTTGATTCCGCTAGGGTACAAGCTGTAGAGAGAGCACCTATAGGCCGGGACTCCTCCAAAACTCTTCCCTCTCACTCTATCTCTCTATATGTATTACAAGACTTATTGAGGACTAATCTTCTCTTGATTGCTAGCTCTGATCCTGGTGGACATATGAATTAGGGTTTCTGGCCCTCATTCTCTCAGGATCAAATGCTTCATGAATATCTACTCTGAAGAGGGGGGTCAGGCAGATATATATAGGGGCCTTGAAGCATCCTGGACCTTCGGATCAAATCGACTTAAATGGATGGCGTAGATGTGATCCATGAGGCGGTGGAGAACTGACATAGCAATGCAAAGGCTGATGGTGGGGCCCATAGACCGGCTGGCCTGCATGTGGGACTGGCCAGCCCCACCTGGCAGGGGCTCCAGCTCTGCTTCGATGGAGAGCCTCCTGGAGTCTTCTAGAGTCTTCCCACGTTGGTTATGCTGCGGAATTACGCGATTTCCTTTGATGAATAGGTCCTCCTTGGCGGTTTTTTGATTAGATCCTGCTAGGAACATAGATTCACCAAAACTCATGGAAACTGTTAGTTAAAACCCCTAAGTCTATGTTGGTGATCCATTTTAATCATTTATGCAAGGTATATTAATGGTTTGTGATGATTGTTAACTACCGTCAACAAACTCCCCCACACTTAGGCTTTTACTTGTCCTCGATAAAAGGATGGATTACTCAAGACATAATCTTAGGACAAATCATCAACATAAAACTATTCCTAGTCATACATGCTCTGCAGGATTCAAAGTGTCTACCATGAAACTTTGGGTGGTTGAAGAATGGAACAGTTTGAAACAGATCACCATCTTCCTTCATTCAAGTCAATTGGAGAAATATTTTAAGATTTTTGAAAACAAAACATAGCTTACCTTCTCCTTTTATGGTACTCTCAAATCACTCTATATATGTGGTATTTTTGGATCCTCACCAAGGCATTGACGACTTTGCCTTCTTTTTGCCTAGTTCTAAAAGCTTATGTGGAGCTCAGGTAGGGATGAATATGAAAACATACTTGCATTGCATATATTGTAAGGTCAAAACAAGGATCCAAGAAGAAAAATGTCATACTCTTAGATTAAGATGTGCATGTGTATGGATATGTATATGGTGGCTATCCTAATTCTACTATGCTCCTTGAAACATATCTCTCTTGTTTGAAACTTGGAAAACTTTTCAAGAGAACATGGGCTATCTTATTCATCTTTCTTTCTTCTTCTCTTTTTTTCTTCAGGTGGGCATCTGAGTACCCATTGTTTTAGATATCTTGGACACTTGTCCATTTTTTTCAATACTTTTTCTTTACTTTCTTTTATGAATAACTTTTGCATAGCCCATGCCTCTTTTTCTGTAATTGAAACTTTTCAAGAGAGACATTCACAAGAACTTGGAGCACTTATCCTAACAAACTTACTTTTGTGTCTATTCCCATTGTAGGAGTAGAATATTTTTGGGTGGATGAAAAACATGTTTTTGCATACTCCTAGTGTAGGAGCAGTAGATATATGTGGAGTGTACGTGATCTTGATCTTGGGAGCATGATAAATTTCTCAACAAAGGTCACAAGGTTTGTCCAAACTCAATTCAATGGCAAGTAATATATGTAGAAGGTTTCTAGTCTATCATATCATGTATGGCTCTGGTGGGATATTGCTTACCACAAAGGAGAGGTGTAGCTATTCTTTTTAACTTTTTGAAATAAAATTCCCCAATAACAAGACATCAAGAATCAAGTTCTCATTATTCTACTATATCTTATTCCACAACAACTTAAGTAACATGGGGTCCCTAATAATAAGTTTCCAATAGTAGCATGACTTCCAGGAAAAGTGTTATGTGAGTTTATACTTTAGTCATGACTGAAATAATCTTTTCCTCAGTTTTAAAGTTGTTTTATTAAAGAATTTTCAATTCGGTTCGAAACAGAAAGCGAAACATGTGAAAATAGAACATATGGGCCGCAAACCTGACCATGGACAAACCATGAGGTGAGGGGGGCATAGTAGTGGGCCGGCTGGCCCATAGGGGAGACCAGGTGGCCTGGCCCAAAGCCCATTTGGGTCCAACTTTGGTCGACGTGATTCTTGGTCCATTACTTTCCAAATTTCATGATTTTTACAATCGAATTTTGTTCTGTTGTTGCAGTGTGCTTCCCCACACTTGTTTCCTGTTTATCTTTATGCACAACATGTGGAGACAAACACATATCCAAAAATAAATAGAGAGCAGGTAATAATAATAAGATTCCATTGAGATCATATCATAGGGCACTTTATTACACAATCAATACCTAACATGAACTTTTAACTAGCTAGCACAAACTTCAACCACTCTAACAATCTGAGCTAAGCGAGTGACCTAAACACTAGCCTAACTGTGCCCTATTGATCCACAACCTAACTCTTAACTGTCATACTTCTCTTTGTTGACGACATAGGGACTTAAGATACTAAGCTCATATTCTAGGTTCTTGTGATAAACGTGCTCCTTATCTATCCTAAACTGCAAAGCGTGGGTATAATCGGTGAGAGTTTTGATCTTGTCAGGCAGCATGGCAACGGTCGGACGTTGGCACTTCTCGTCGTTCTCTGGAATAGAGGGTGGCACCCTCTTCTTCTTCTCCTTTGGCGGAACAACCTTCACTTGTTCCGGCGCAGCGCGAAGTCCATCTATGCTCAAGCTAGGGGTGACTGACTTGTACTTCACGCATGTGACATCTTGATAGTTACTGATATGAATCGGTAGGAGGATGGCCTGATCTTCACGACAGTAGGTCAAAAAATTGAAGATAACTTGCTGCGACCAGCGGGGTAACTAGCTTTATACCTACCAAGGTTGGATGCGACCAAGCGACGGGGAGAGAGGCACTGAAACCGCGAAGACTTTGACTCGATCTCCGAACGACCGTTGAACCACAATCCAGAACTAATCCACACAAAATAGTGCAGCCGCACTGGTAACCATAGAGCACGAACTAGGGGATCCTAGAGGGATCACTTCACAAATCCAAGAAGAAAAAGGAAAAACAAATGTTTGAGTAAGGCACTTGGTAGCTCGGCTGCAATATCATGTAGTTTATCAAATTGTCAAAGGTTTCTAATAGCTTAGAGGTAGGGGATATTTACACTAGGAACAACCCTCCTAGTTAGGTGTGAAAACGAGATGGAATTTCTAAGGATAGGCCATGTGAAAGGTCACCACGAGATGGATTCCTAAAGTGGTCTCGCGTGACTGTTGGCCTCCTGAGCAATCTCCACTAATCTGGCCATAACTCCTTATTGGGAAGTCCAAATGATGAGCCGTTTGTTGGGTGTGAAAGTAGACTTGATAAGCTTTCCAGCCATGTGCCACATGCACCACGAAACTTTGTAGATTGGTACAATTTTTCATGGGAAGTTGAGCCAATATTCTATCCTGGGAAGACTGCTGACCTTCTGTTTTTATCAGATTGATCCGATGATGAAAAAAGTTGGTCCATATTTATCACACTGGTCCATTTTTTATCAGATCGGAGTAGATGATGAAAACCTTGGTCTTGGTCCTAATCGACTGTATCTTCCACCTCTTCATGTGTGCACCTAAGTAACATCAAGGTAGAACACTTAGGTAGTATTTCATCCCTAGAAATATTGAAATCAAAGTCAATTAGGAATGAATTCACCTGTTCCTGTAGTTTCTTGGCGCGGATTCGTATAAGTGGACAATGATTATGTTCACTTGTATTGGACAGTGAATGCTCTTCATGTTCCAACATATGATGAGTTGGCATGTCCTCATCATCCTCCCCTCTTGAAAAGGAGTCGTCCTCAACTCTGACTCTTGTGGTCCAAAGAATTGTGCTAGGCCATCGATTTGTAGTGTTGTGATAACATCACGATCTTCTTCTTCCATCACAGCAAGGTGTTTGAATCTATAATCATATAAACCAAGTAGTAGCCTTGTAGATGGAAACCTAAATGATCTGAAACTAAGTATAGCTTTCACCTTGCAATGATGCTTAGAACTATTGGTGAGTGTTGATGTCCTTGGCACGGTCTCATCATCCTCCCTCCCTTCAAGAAAAGTCGTCCATGACTTTTGTTTACCTAAAAACACAGGGTTGATGTACAAAATAATTCCAATGATCATTCATTTCATTTTGTTCATTTGTTTCTTTACCTATTCATATTATTTCCTTTTCCAAGTAAGAAATATTGTCTCAACTTTGGTGAACCCGCAAATAGCTTCAAAGATGGGAGCACAAAAATTTCTTCCAACCCAATCATTTGATTCATGTTATCACGTTTATCTTTGCAAGATCAAGTTTTTCATCAAATGGATGTTGAACGTTCATGGCATTCCAAAAATTATTGTGGCACAATTTATTCATGGGTTTAGAAGTATACCTTTCAAACTCAATGCTCCAGGATGTGGGTGAACAACTTTTGTGTGCACGAGCATTGCTTTGCACATGATTTCTTTCTTTTAGTGGAAGGTATGAACATGATGACAACATTAATTGTTGAAAATAAGAAGCACCAAGCAATTGTTTCATCTCAAAAGATATATCACTTGGTTTATCACTCAATATTTTTGACTCTAAGTCAGCAAGCTTGTCATATGTTACCCAAATTGCATGAACATTGAAGGTACCTACAACATGTTCTCCAATCAAAACAAATGTAAACTTGCAGCTATGAGCAGTATTGAAAGAACTCAAGGAAGTTATCACGGAAATTTTCTCAAGCATTTTATCAATATTGATAGGCATGTTAAGCATAGTATAACACAAACATTCAGTAGGAGATATCCTTGCAAACAAATCAGCACATGTAACCAACTAAACAAGGTGAAGTTTGTTGGTATACGAAGTGTTGCAAGGATCATTCAAAGCACAAAGACTCTCATCAAGATAAAATTCAACACTTCTAACAACATGAGATTCGGTCAAATCAGCACAAAGGCTTTGATTACGTTCTATCACTGAAATAGTAGTATCACAAGTACTCATTATGTGTTGGAAATTCAGATTTGACTTATTTTCCATACTTTTTAGACTTTTTGGTAGTGCAAGTATCATGGATGTCACTTCTGAAATCTTACCACTTTCCTCGTCATGGTTCATATTTTGGGCAGCACACAATTGGTTCGGATGAATGTCTACCTTCTCACTTCTCTCAACAAGTATGGAGTTGTCATGAGCAGCCATATCTTCATTATTCTCATTACAATCTTGCTTATTTGGAAAGACAACACTAGAAGTAGAGATGAGAATGTTAGTTTCAAAAATATCCTCAGATGACTTGCATTCTAACTCTCTATCTTTCTGTGGTGTATCCCTCACACTCGCATTGTTGATACTCTCAACATCACAGTGGGTGGAATCACGCAACTCACTTTTGTTTTCACTCTCTCTCAGTTTAGCAATGTGGCTCTCATTCTCACATAGATTTTGATGCACAATCACTTCAACATCTTGTGAAGCAACAAATGCATACGTATCGTTGTCCATGGCCATCACTTGATCTTCCTCATCAAACATTGGAGGCTAGTCATAATTCACCACATCATTTTCTTCATGAGCCTGCATCACACAAGGAACAAGACTAGAAGAAGGTATTATCGTGTTAGTAGTAAATAATTCCTCACATGATTCATCTTCTTTTTCGCTCATTTTGTGTGTATCTCTCTCACATAGAATTTTATGGCTCTCCTGCTCACATATGGTGGAATCTCTCATCTTTTCATTTTGAACTCTCACACTCAATTTTGGTTGGTGGCACTCTTTCTCATATGGGTTTCGCTGTCCAAAAGACATTCCTCGTGTCTCTTGCTGAATTTTTCTTTTGGTGGACACACAATAATCTTCATCACCATTGAGCACACGGGGGCGAAAATTACGTCCATGAGCACCTTCCACATGTCCACTATGGCCAAAGAGACCACGATGAGAATTGGTCAGTATATGTTGTTGTGGAGCCTGACAGCGCACTGCGGGAAGGTGTTCATTGAACATTCTCTCCATGGTGTGCAACAACAAGTTTTCAAATTGACGTAACTCAGCCCGTGATATCGATGGTTTTTCTTTTCCATGTAGACCACCATGAATACTTGAATTGGGTCCTGCCATGTTAGCACTTATGCAAGAAAAGTGGAATAGGTAAATTTGTGGAATCACACAACCTCACCTCTTAGTTACCAATGCTCTTTCCTGTTCTCAAGGACAGTGAGCGTGCTAGTGCAGTAGTTCAACAGATGTGATTGAGAGGTCGCAAGGATTACAAGTCGAACGTCCCAGTGTTAGATTTTGGTGAAGCTATAGGTGGCTATTCAATTGAGGCTATGGTACTGCAAACCAAGTGTTTGATGTATTCAAAAGATATGAAGTCGCTGCTATTGAGATTACCACCAACTTGAATATGTAAACTGAAATTTGTAGTTATACAACCCACAACACAACCCCTACTTTCAACTCTTTTCTCTTCTTTTTTTGAATCTTTCTTTCTTCTTTTCTTCTCTTTTTTTCTAATTTTTTTTAACACTAACAAGGGTCCAAATAACAAATGAAAACAACACGATATATGTGAATATGGTGACTAGCAACTTGATGAACACAACAACACAAATGTAGCAGTACCATCAAAAGGCTATAGGATTTTTTATGGCTTTTTAGTGGACTTTAGGAGATGAACAAAAATAGTAACAAATGGTGGATAAATCAAAGGTAAATATGTGGATGATGGTGAGACCTACCATGGCAATGAAAGCTTTGATACCAGATGATAGTTACCGATATGAATCGGCAAGGGGATGGCCTGATCTTCACGATAGTACGTCAAAAAATCGAAGAGAACTTGCTGCGAATAGCGGGGTAACTAGCTTTATACCTACCAAGGTTGGATGCGACCAAGCGACAGGGAGAGAGGCACCGAAACCGTGAAGACTTCGACTCGTTCTTCGAACGACTGCAGAACCATAATCCGAAACTAATCCACACAAAACGTTGTAGCCGTACTAGTAACCATAGATCATGAACTAGGGGATCCCAGAGGGATCACTTCACAAGTCCAAGAAGAACAAGGAAGAACAAATGTTTGAGTAAGGCACTCGGCAGCTCGGCTGCAATATCATGTAGTTTATCAAATCATCAAAGGTTTCTAATAGCTTAGATGCAGGGGATATTTATACTAGGAACAACCCTCAAAGTTAGGTGTGAAAACGAGATGGAATTTGTGAGGATAGGCTATGTGAAAGGTCACCATGAGATGGATTCCCGAAGTGGTCTCGTGTGACTGTTGGTCTCCTGAGTAGTCCCCACTAATCTGGCCGTAACTCCTTATTGGGAAGTCCAAAAGATGAGCCGTTTGTTGGGTGTGAAAATAGACTTGATAAGCTTTCCAGCCTTGTGCTACATGCACTACGAAACTTTGTAGATTGGTACAGTTTTTCACGGGAAGTTGAGCCAATATTCTATCCTGAGAAGACTGCTGACCTTCTGTTTTATCAGATTGGTCCGATGATGAAAAAACTTGGTCCGTATTTATCACACAGGTCCATTTTTTATCAGATCGGAGTAGATGATGAAAACCTTGGTCTTGGTCTCGATCGACTGTATCTTCCACCTCTTCATGTGTGCACCTAAGTAACATCAAGGTAGAACACTTAGGTAGTATTTCATCCTTAGAAATATTGAAATCAAAGTCAATTAGGAATGAATTCACCTATTCCTGTTGTTTCTTGGCGTGGATTCGTATAAGTGGACAATGATTAGGTTCACTTGTATTGGACGGTGAATGCTCTTCATGTTCCAACATATGATGAGTTGGCATGTCCTCATCAAGTCTCCAAACTTGTTGGTCTTCACCCCGGTCAGCATCTCATTTGCCTTTGGAGGGAGGAGGTTGATCACCTTTGGGACCTTGATCGTCGACGGTGCGTCGGCTTGACGTGGATTGTCCTTGAGAAGTAGACGCGGTGGCGGCGGAGCAAGGACTAGACGACGGATGGCTTGGGCGAAGTAAGATTGATTAGAGGGAACGGGAGCTACTCCTTGCGGCGGGATGATGCTTAGCGATATGGGTTCGTGAACTCCATATGGAACGATCTCTCTACCGGCCATTGGAGCTAGGAAGGTGGAAAGCTTTGATGCTGCTGGAGATGGAAGGCTTTGATGGAATGGCTATAAAGGCAGGCAGAGGCTCATTTATATAGGGGGGAAAACTTGCAGCAGGGGTCAAGATCTATCTATTAGGGTCTCATAATGAAGGAAAAACGAATGCGGCAAAAAACTACAGGATTGAGGAGGGGAAAGTTCTAGAATACATGAGAGAATTGACCGGACTCAAGGCGACTGACAGGTGGGCCGGCTGGCATAGAGGTGGGACCGGCCGGCCCCACATGGTGGCCTCCCGTGGAGATCTTAGGGCGGTTTCTAATTCCTATCTAATCCCGAAAAAGATATTTATGTGTTACGAAACGTAAAGAGGATGGCAATGGTGTAAATCTATGGTAAAATTAGAAAATCTATGTCATCCAAATCCTCAGGTGGTTTTTTAGGTTCTAGAAAATTTTGAGATGGTGACCATTTACCTTGAATAATGTACCTTCATCATTTTGAAGTGTTACCGCTCCATGCGATGAAGTGCTTATCACCTTGAATGGTCCTTCCCATTTGCTTCGAAGTTTTCCATGCCCGAATAATTTAACCCTAGAATTAAAAAGTAATACCTTATCTCTAGGGGTGAACTCCTTCTTCTTTATCCTCTTGTCATGCTATCATTTGGTTCTCTCCTTGTATATCTTGGCGTTATGATATGCTTTTTCACGCCATTCATCAAGCTCAGAGAGTTGCATCTTCCTCTTGGTTCCTGCAACTTCAAAGTCCATGTTCCAATGCTTGATGGCCCAGTGAGCTTTGAATTCTAGCTCAATAGGTAGATAACAGGTCTTCCCATAGATGAGTTGATATGGTGACATCCCAAGTGGTGTTTTATAGGCTGTTCTATAAGCCCATAATGCATCGAGTAGTCTATCCTTCTATGCAGTCCCCATCTCGTTGACCGTGTTCTGCAGAATGTTATTGATTTGTTTGTTCGATGTTTCTGCTTGGCCACTTGTCTGAGGGTGATACGGAGTAGTGACGTTGTGACGGATCCCATGTCTTAACAAGTACTTGTGAAAGTTCTTGTCAGTGAAGTGAGTGCCTCCATCACTAATCACCATCCTTGGAACTCTGAATCACAGAAATATTGTCTCTTCAAACATCTTCTTGGAGTTCTTAGCATCAGCAACTCTACATGGCATGGCTTCAACCCACTTGGAGACATAGTCAACTGCCACCAAGATGTATTCATAGTTCTTTGACTTTGGGAAGGGTCCCATGTAGTCGATACCCCAGACATCGAAAAGTTCGATCTGGAGGTTATTGGTGAGTGGCATGGCATCTGTTGAATTGATGTTCCCATGCCTCTAACATGCTCCACACCTCCAGACGAAGTCCCTCGTGTCTTGATACATGGTTGGCCAAAAGAATCCACTTTGCCAGATCTTTGAATGAGTGCGTAATGCACCATAATTCCCTCTATATGGTGACAAGTGGCACCGTTCAATGATCTTGATGCCTTCTTCTACCGGTACACATCTCCTGAGTAGGCCATCAGAATAGACTCTGAAGAGGTATGGCTCATCCCATATGTGGAGATGACTTTTGTAGATGAGCTTCCTTTTGTTTTCCCCTGGTGGTACATAACTAGCAACCGTAAAATTGATAATATTTGCGTACTAGGGGTCAGATTTTGTGATCTTGAAGAGCATGTCATCCCATAGCAAATCATAGATGGGCAATTCCTGTGGATTTTTAAATTGCATTCTGGACAAGTGATCGGCAATAGAATTTTCTACTTCCTTTTTATCTTTTATTTCTAAGTCAAATTCTTGGAGTAGCAAAATCCATCTTATAAGTCATGGTTTAGCATCTTTCTTAGTGAGTAGGTATTTTAAAGTAGCATGATTAGTATAAACAATCACATTAGCTCCTACTAAGTATGATCTGAACTTATCAATAGCAAAAACAATAGCTAGGAGTTCTTTTTTAGTTGTTGCATAATTAAGTTGAGGTCCTATTAGAGTTTTGCTAGCATAGGCAATTGCATGATGCTTCTTATCTTTTGTTTGACCCAAAACTGCCCCCACAGCATAATCACTAGCATCACACATAATTTCAAAAGGTAGCGTCCAATCAGGGGGTTGAATGATTGGTGCAGAGGTGAGTGCTTTCTTAAGAATGTTAAAAGATTTCAAGCATGCATCATTAAATTCAAAGGGAACATCCTTAGCTAAAAGATTTGTAAGTGGTCTAGCAATATGTGAAAAATATTTTATAAAGCGACGGTAAAACCCTGCATGACCAAGAAAACTGTGGATCCCTCTGATGTTTACTGGAGGAGGTAACTGTTCAATTACTTCAATTTTAACTCTATCTACCTCAATCCCTCTTTCGGACACCAATTGTGC